ACATGAGTTGTCATTTGATTAACGGGATCACATCATTAGGAGAATGATGTGATTGACTTGACCCATTCCGTTAGCTTAGCACTTGATCGTTTAGTATTTTGCTATTGCTTTCTTCATGACTTATACATGATCCTATGACTATGAGATTATGCAACTCCCGTTTACCGGAGGAACACTTTGTGTGCTACCAAACGTCATAATGTAACTGGGTGATTATAAAGGTGCTCTACAGGTGTCTCCAAAGGTACTTGTTGGGTTGGCGTATTTCGAGATTAGGATTTGTCACTCTGATTGTCGGAGAGGTATCTCTGGGCCCACTCAGTAATGCACATCACTATAAGCCTTGCAAGCATTGTAACTAATAATTTAGTTGCGGGATGATGTATTACGGAACGAGTAAAGAGACTTGCCGATAACGAGATTGAACTAGGTATTGAGATACCGACAATCGAATCTCGGGCAAGTAACATACCGATGACAAAGGGAACAACTTGTGTTGTTATGCGGTTTGACCGATAAAGATCTTCATAGAATATGTAGGAGCCAATATGAGCATCCAGGTTCCGCTATTGGTTATTGACCGGAGACATGTCTCGGTCATGTCTACATAGTCCTCGAACCCGTAGGGTCTGCACGCTTAAAGTTAGATGACGATCGGTATTACGAGTTTTGTGTTTTGATGTACCGAAGGTAGTTCAGAGTCCCGGATATGATCACGGACATGACGAGGAGTCTAGAAATGTCCGAGACATAAAGATTGATATATTGGAAGCCTATATTTGGATATCGAAAGTGTTCCGGGTGAAATCGGGATTTTACTGGAGTACCGGGGGTTACCGGACCCCCCCCCCCCCGGGGGAAGTAATGGGCCTATTGGGACTTAGTGGAGAAGAGAGAGGGCAGCCAAGAGGTGGCGCGCGGCCCCCCTTGCCCCAGTCCAAATTGGACAAGGGAAGGGGGCAGCGGCCCCCCTCTCCTTCCTTCTCTCCACCTCCTCCTTCCCCCCTTCTCCTACTACTAGGAAAGGAGAAGTCCTACTCCCGGTGGGAGTAGGACTCCTCCCTTGGCGTGCCCTCCCTGGCCGGCCGCCTCTCCCCCCTTGCTCCTTTATATACGGGGGCAGGGGGCACCTCTAGACACACAAGTTGATCTATTGATCTATTCCAGTCATGTACGATGCACCCCTCCACCATATTCCACCTCGGTCATATCGTAGCGGTGCTTAGGCGAAGCCCTACGTCGGTAGCAACATCATTACCGTCATCACGCCGTCGTGCCGACGAAACTCTCTCGTGAAGCTCTGCTGGATCGGAGTTCGCGGGACGTCATCGAGCTGAACGTGTGCTAAACTCGGAGGTGCCGTACGTTCGGTACTTGGATCGGTCGAATCGTGAAGACGTACGACTACATCAACCGCGTTGTGCTAACGCTTCCACTTTCGGTCTACGAGGGTACGTGGACAATACTCTCCCCTCTCGTTGCTATGCATCACCATGATCCTATGTGTGCGTAGGAATTTTTTTTTGAAACTACTACGTTCCCAACACGTTTTAGGCGTCCGTGTTGCAGACGCCCTTAGTAGTCATTCACTAGGAAGAGCATGGGCAATGTTGCATGCTGGAGAGCTGCTCCTAACCCAGGGGTGGAGCCAATTAATAACATTGATGTACATATTTCTCTCTCAGCCATAAGGGTGGGGGTACTGAACTGATTTAAACACATGGTACACCCATATTTTGGATAAAGAGCTAAAAGGACTTAGTAAACCTTAGAGTTAGGGAGTAAGACATCAAACTTTAATCTCTATGCACATCCAATACAATAATCCTACCCCCCCCCCAATGCCCAAACCCTTCATGTGAACCTTAATCCCTCTCCATGTATTTCACTGTGTGGACCTTCCCTAAATTTCTCATAATCTCTCCATGTAACCCAATAAACCTAGTCTGTAAAGAAAATTTTGGGAGTGTAGCAAAGCCATAATTGTGCATTGCTCGTGCTCCTTGGATGTGAAATAAGAGGGGAAGAGCAAAACCGGGGGATCTCAGGCATCTGGGCCTAGACATGCATTTGGGTCAATAATTGATTGGATGATGTCTTGAACTATCTTTATTTAGATGGAGGTGTGAAGCAGTAGGACGGCGGTGCTACCGATACCATGCCCTTATGCAAGATCCAGTGGTTACTTTCCACAACAAACATTTGAGAGGTCACAAACCTCCAAAGGAGAAGATGAAATGGAGAATGACATATCTGAACTATATTCCAAATCTCACAAAAAAAATTATGGAAGAACTTTTGATAGATTATAGGCTTGCATTTTTTAAATAAATTGGTTGAATTTTCAGAAATTTCAATATGAACTTCCAACAAATCATAATAAAAAAATAAACAAATCTAGGTTGAGCTTCAAAGAATCATGTCACCGGAATCTAAGTTCAACATTCACAAATTTCAACATGAACTTCCAACAAACATGACAACAAAATTTTGAAACCGGGCTTTCATAAATTTCATCACGAACTTCCAACAATCATGGCAACAAGATTTTTGAATTTTAACATGCACTTCAAGCAATTATGACACCTTTTTCACAATTGAGCTCACTCCAAGATGAGTTTTTTTTTTTAAAAGAGTTCGCTCCCATAAAATTGAGCTTCCAACATTCAAATTTAGCTTGCAAAAAATATGAATCACATGGTAGGCATATCTATACATCCTTTAAGGAATCGAGCTTTATATACTTCATGCATTATAAGTTTCAAAAATACGAATCATGACTTCAACAATAATTGTAAAAAGGAATAACATATATAGTGCTCCACCCACCATCCCCGCGCATTAGCGGCTGATGTTCTACTAGTAGCAAGGAGTGTGATGACGCCGTCGTGGCCGTGGTGCCAAAAAGGAAAAAAATAAGTGGTGAAAAAAGGAAGAAGATGGTAGTTGAATGGTGGTCAATCATCTCCAATTGTTGTGTTACGGTGGCCAAGGCTGGTCTCCATATTTTTACTACACCCTTCTAGAAATTTGAGCTTTTAAACTTCACGCATTCAAAGTTCCAAAAATTATGAATCGGGTCTTGAACAAACTCTAATCCCATCCATGATGCAGCTTCTCCATGACAGATGGGAGCAAATGCATGAATGATCAAGCTACGATCCATTTCAAAGAAAAAAGTTATAGGTGTCTATCAGGAAAAAAAATTGGCGCGCCTTCCGTAGCACAACATATGAATGAAGAAGAGGACGCACGCGGAGAACGTCGTGTCAGTCGCATCGTCCATCAAATAGATGTAATAACTTGGTTGAGGAACAAGTTTTTCTGGACGGAGGGAGTACTTGCTAGTATTACCAGACAGGGGCTGAGAGCAAGTGCGTGTTCGCCCACCAGGAGCGAGAAAAAGGAAAAAAGAAAAGCAACAAAGGTTTGGATTTAGAAAGACATTCATTATCTGAAGCAAAAAAGAAACAAAAATCAGCACTTCAAAATGCCTTTGAAATTAACCTTTTTGGAGGATCGGTTTTCTTTTTCCCGCTGCGTCTTGCACGAATGTCATTCCATGACGGAACTTTGCAATCAATCAATACATATGTCAATGTTTGCTAAAAGAGATCAGTTTTCTTTTTCATGTTTTTCAGATTTTACTGTTCACTCGAGCTTAAATGAGCTTGAGCTTAAGTTTGTCGCCTTGTTGTTGTGTTGGTCTTCATTGATTGGTCAGAAGCGCCTGACGCCAGATTGCAACGATTCCGCCGTGGTTGCATACTTTCTATACTCTACTTGTTGATGATTCTGGCTTCGTTTCCTTGAGTCGACTATAATAAAAAAATGCATCATAATGATAATGGGTGGTTTCAACCTTCTTTTAGAGAAAAAAGCAAATGCATGTTTTTTAATCGATCAGAAGCGCCTGACGCCAGATGTTTCCGTCGCGCCCACATTATGAGAGACCTAGCACCGCTATCCGAAGGAGGCAGTAGGAACCTACGTTGGAGTTCCATCGACTCCATCTTGACAAACAAACTCAAGGAGCTCGAAAGATCGGCTCGATGAAGCGCGACCATCCGCCTGAGCCCCACCTCTGTGAGGACTTATAAAGACACTAACCTAAACTAATAGTCGAAGCCAGGGGCGTCAGAATTCTCCTACTCGTCACCGGTCACCGAAGCGGCAGGCAAAGAAAAGACAAATTCATGGGCTCGATGATGGAGCTTGAAGAGAAGGAGTTCTTCGCCCCGCCACCACTTTAGTGCGAGGGGAAAGCAAAAATGCTAGACCTACAAACAAATACATGATTTTACAGGAGGGGTGGGCCACCTCCCTCATCTATTGACCAATCAAGCTAACCAGTTAGGCACATCAACCACATGCATGGAAGAACTTTCTTTTGATTTAGTTCATCCGTTTCTGCCACAACAGTCAAACAGTTAGGCACAGTAACCACATGCATGGAAGAACTTTCATTATACTTTTTTAGATGAACTTTCAGGGTTAAGCGGGCATACGAAATGTGCATGGCCGGAGGGTGTGAGTGGATGAACGACAGCATCGCAAGTATGAGGCAGACACGCGGAGAACATTGTGAAATCGGTTTCATCGGCCCCGGGACCAGACAAACAGACAGGGACCGATCGTATTACGAGAGTTACCTGGTGCCGTGACGTGAATAACTTGCGATTTGCTCGTAAACACAGTCACGTCTCACTGTGGTTTACGTGAATAACCGCAGAAATCACAACCGCGTATGATATGAACACTATTGTGGCACTATTGTGTGCCTTCCCAAACATGACAGAAGAAGAGCTAGAGGATCAACAAAAGACTTAATTTCATCAATCATATCAGATACAATAATGGCAAACCCCAACTAAATTAAGCATACCTAGCTTGACTGACTCTACTGCTACCAGATACTACTTAGTACCAATGCTGCAATGCAACCCCAGGCAGCTACAGACTCACTCGACCAAAAGACGTACGTACGTGGCTCTGGATCCTTATTGCTGGGCGGTGTCGCTGGATGGAGTGGGAGGATCGATGGCGGAGAACTTGGGCACGGGCACGGGGAACCGGTGGATCTCGTCGGCCCAGGGGTTGCCGGCGACGTCCCTGGGGTTGGCCGGGTTCACCGACCGGAGCGCCCTCCACACGGCGCTGTTGCACTTGAACCCGGACCCGAATGCGATCTGCCAGGTGCGGTCGCCCTTCCTGATCCGGCCCTTGGCCTCGGCGTAGGCCAGCTCGTACCACAGCGAGCTGCTCGACGTGTTGCCGAACCGGTGCAGCGTCATCCGCGACGGCTCCATGTGCCACTCCGTCAGCTGCAGGTTGCTCTCCATCTGGTCCAGCACCGCCCGCCCGCCGGCGTGGATGCAGAAGTGCTCGAACGCCAGCTTGAAGTCCGGGATGTAGGGCTTCACCTTGGCGTTCACCAGCTTCTTGGCCGCCAGCGTCGCGAAGAAGAGCAGCTGCTCGCTCAGCGGCAGCACCAGCGGCCCCAGCGTGGTGATGTTGGTCTTGAGCGCGCCGCCGGCGATCGCCATCAGGTCCTTGGACAGCGACACGCCCCGCTTGCCCGACTCGTCCTCCTGCTGGTACACGCACCGGAACGCCTTGTCGTCCGCCCCCTTGTGCGTGCGCACCGTGTGCACCAGCTGGTACTTGGAGCGCCGCCGCGCCGACCGGCGGTTCGAGAGCAGGATCGCCGCGCCGCCCATGCGGAACAGGCAGTTGGACACCAGCATGGAGCGGTCGTTGCCGAAGTACCAGTTGAGGGTGATGTTCTCCATGCTGATCACCACGGCGTACGTGCCGGGCTGCGCCTGGAGCAGGTCCTTGGCGAGGTCGATGGCGATGAGCCCCGCGCTGCACCCCATGCCGCCCAGGTTGTAGCTCACGATGTTGCCCCGGAGCTGGTACTTGTTGACGACCATGGCGGAGAGCGAGGGCGTCGGGTTGAAGAGGCTGCAGTTGACGACGAGCACGCCGATGTCCTTGGCCTTCACGCCCGTCTTGGCGAAGAGCTGGTCCAGCGCGCCGAACATGACCTTCTCGGCCTCCACCCGCGCGTTGGCCATGGAGGGGTTGGGCGGGAGGTTGAGCACGGCCTCCGGGAGGTACGTCTCCTCGCCCAGCCCGGAGCGCTCCACGATCCGGCGCTGGAACTCGACGTTGTCGTCGGTGAAGGTGCCGAGCTTCTCGGTGCAGTCCATGAAGCGGGCGCGGCTGCACTTGCGCGCGTCGTCGGGCTTGTAGCAGGCGAAGTCGACGAGGTAGACGGGGCGCGGGCGGGTGACGAGGTAGGCGGTGCAGGCGGCCACGAGGAAGGCGAGGCAGGCGAGCAGGGAGCCGAGGCTGTGGTGGAGGACGCCTTGCCAGAGGTCGGCCAGGTCGTGCAGCGTGAAGGTGGAGAGGTGCGCCGCCACGAGCCCCGGCAGCGGCGCCACCGCCAGGTACGCGCCGTGCGTGATCAGGTAGTGGTACCCGAGCTTCACGTACTTGAGCTTCACCGACCGCGTGAAGTCGCCGCGCGCCGGGGCGGGAGGCGCCGGGTCGGCCATCGCGGCGGCGGCGGCGGCGGCCTGGCGGCCGGAGGAGGAAAGGTTGCCTATGGTGGCAACGCAAAGATCGTCTGGGGGGGAGAGGCCGCCGGGAGCGGGGGCTGTCCCGACGGATCGCAGGGCTCGGCGGGTTTCGCTCTGGGGGTGGAGCTGGGGTTTGGGTTTGGAGTGTGCTGCCCTGGCCACGCAGCCGCGGGCTTATATAGATGGGATGGGACGACCGGGCCGGACTGCCAACCCAGCCCTGACGCCCAGAGACCTGCAGAGGCACGACACGGAGGAGTTTGAGTCGATTGATTAGGCCACCAACCTGCTAAACATCTCAACTTGTGAAGCAGTAGCAGTAGGTTCCGGAGATGAGCGGATCACCGGACGCGTTACGTACGTACGTGATCGTGACCGCGACGGGCACGAGGAAACGCAGCGTACGTACGTACCTGGGTCAGGTCGGGTCGGGTCGCGGTCCCAGGCAACCGCGGGCCGGGGGGCGCTGGATCACGCTCCCGGCGTGACCGGCCGGCATGGTGACCGCGAACGGCCAGCGGCCGGGGGGCGAGGAAGAGGAACTACCTAGCTAGCCAGGGAGACGAACGACCCGCACGCGATATGCCGTGCCGCAGCCGCTGGTCGCGCGTCGGGGCGCGAGGGGGCCTGGGAGCGGCACGGAGGCGCGCGCGTCTCGCCGCCACTCCCGGGGGCGCGGTTTCCTCCCGCCTTCGCCGCACCGCACGTCACGCTCTTGTCCCCGATCGCGCAGAGTTTTTCCACGGGACGGCTGGGGGCTGGGCCGGTGGGGCGTCCGGTGCCCGGATTTTCCATCCCTTGGGCTGACCGGACCTGCATGCACGGATGACCGCCGCCGGTCAGCCGTCGGCGGCTCGTGTGAAAAGTAACTGGATGTTGATTCCGAGATCAGATAACAAGCGATATTTGACACCGTTGGATGACACGTTGCTTTCCTCGCGCAGGCAAGAAACAGTAACTGATCGTCGCTGTCGCGCCGGAACCGTCCCGGCAAGCTCCCTGTCTGCTTTCAGGTGAGAGTGAGATGTCAGAGTTGCGTTGCATCCATGCCTCCCTTGGTGTTTTTTAGTAGCAGCAGGTCTCGCCGCAATGCACGCTGACCTGACGCGTCAACGGACGGACTACGTCGATCTATCCAAGACGTCAGCTGACCGGTGGCCAACGATGAAAGAGGAAGCACCGAAGACGAACTCGCAAGTCAGGTGCTCGCGCAGATTAGCCAGCAAACGGAACGGCACCAGCCCGCTTGGTCAATGCAGACTGATTAGATAAGAGTATCTACGGCCGCGGTCATCAAATGCGGCTCGGCGCGTCAGGGGGCAGTGACCGTTCCTCCTCCTCCTGCTTCGCGTCCTTCTCCTGCTTCGGGTCCTCCTCGTACTCCTCCTCCTCCGATCCACCGCGTCCGGAGGTAGCCCCGCGGCGATCCGGACTTCGCGTCTGGCACGGATCTGCAGCCGGCGATCCAACGCTAGATAAAGGTAGCTCCTGACCTGCCGGGGTGGTGGCATGGCTACTTGATTGCGGTGGCGCAGGGCGGGCGAGTGAAATGTGAAGGTGACGGTGATTGGAAAGTGGCGTGGACGGACGGGAGGGGAGGAAATGTGGATGTATATGGTTTTGGTGCCAATGTCCGACTTAAATAACGGGGCTAGGGGACTTGCACGGCACGCCGGAGCGCCGACACGCGGCGCCATCGGTCCGTTGGAGGAGTCGAGCTTCGGACCGCCGGGTTTCAGACTGTTTTCCTATGGGATCCGGCCGTCAGTCCGATGTGGCGGACGCGTCCGGGCCTCCCCAATCCGTCTTAGATTTGGGCTGGATACGAGGGCTGCCGGCCAGGCCAGGCATTTGATGCCCATCTGAGTCGTATTTTTTTGACACTCGTTTGTGTATGATGTGGGAATTACGTGTTGTATTCCTCAGGTGCAAACGCACGTATATATGATGTACAGGAGTAGCCCATGACCTCAACTATACAAGGCAACTAGAAGGTGGGCCCAATACACAAAGATGTACAACACATATACTCACCCCCCCCCGCCCCCCCGCAGTCGAAGCGCCACCGCGGCTGACGCAAAGACTGGACCGGAACTCCTCAAATGACGTCGTAGGCAAGCCCTTGGTCATGACATCTGCAAATTGTAGAGAAGTAGGGACGTGTAAAACACGAATATGGCCAAGAGCCACCTGTTCCCGAACAAAATGAATATCCAACTCAATATGCTTGGTCCGCCGATGATGTACCGGGTTAGCGGAGAGGTAGACCGCCAAGACGTTGTCGCAGTAGACCACCGTGGCACGGTCAACAGGGCAAGAGAGCTCCTGAAGCAGCTGGCGAAGCCACGAACACTCGGCGACGACGTTGGCCACCACACGATACTCAGCCTCATCACTGGAACGAGAGATCGTAGGCTACCACTTGGACGGTCACGAGATAAGTGAGGGTCCAAGGTGGAGCGACGAGTGTCAGGGCAACCCGTCCAGTGAACGTCTCGAGGAGCATACATATGAAGACACACCTGCTGCACGGCATACTGGATCTCCGGTTGAGTCAGAGTGAGGTACTGGAGAGCACCAACGATGCGCTGGTACCAAGCGCGAGGAGCCTGCTTGAGTCCGTATAAGGACCGCGAAAACAGGCACACGTGGTCGGGAAGCGCTGGGTCAAAAAACCCGGTGGGCTGCTGGCAGAAGACCTGCTCCTCGAGGTGACCATGGAGGAAAGCGTTGGAGACGTCCATCTGGTGCACCGGCCAAGCACGGGAGACCGCAAGGTGGAGAACCGAGCGTATCTTGCTGGGCTTGACGACCGGAGCGAAGGTGTCGATGAAGTCGATGCCAACATGCTGTCGGAAGCCACGAACGACCCAGCACACTTTATAGCGATCAAGGATACCATAAGGACGAAGCTTGTGTTTGAAGACCCACTTCCCGTAATCACGTTGGCGTGCCGGGGACGGGGAACAAGCCGCCACGTTTGGTTGCGCAACAGGGCGGCAAACTCCTCTTGCATCGCAGCCATCCAAAGCGGGTCACAAAGAGCGGCTCGAACAAAGGACGACAACGGCGATGGCTCAGAGGTGGACACCGCATGGGCGTAGTCATCCGAGGCGTAGCACGAGCTCGGGCGAAAAACGCCCGTATGGACACGGGTGACCGGACCGGCCACAGGCGCCGGGGGAAGGGGGGGCGCCGAAGAGGCCGGGGGAGCCGCGGGGGCAGCGAGCACCGGGAGGTCCACGGGGGCCGCCGGCGCCGAGAGGACCACAGGAGCCGCGGGGGCTGGCGAGGCCGCGGGCGCCGAGGGGGGCGCGGGAGCCGCGGGCGCCATCGCCGCAGGAGGAGGGGGCGCCGGTGTCGCGCCCGTAGGGGGCGCCGCATGCGGCGGGCGCGCCTCAAAGCTAGGGGCGGGCCAAGAGAGGCGCACGAGCGCCCTGGGAGGGGCGTCGAGGAGCCCGCGTCACCGGTGATGAGAGGAACAGCTGGGGGTACCTGCTAAAACGGAAAGACATGCTTCAAAGTAAACATGCCGGGAAGTGAACACACGGTCGGAGACGGGATCGTAGCACTAATATCCCTTGAAGTTATAGGGGTAGCCAATGAAGATGCAAGCGACAAAACGGGGTACGAATTTGTGAGGAGCGAAGTCGGCAGTGCTAGGATAGTAAAGACACCTGAAAATACGCAAGCCATCATAAGATGGGGGCGTACTGAAGAGAAGATGGTGAGGTGCATAGTTCCACCGTGGGCGACAGGGTCGAAGGTTAAGGAGAAGTGAAGCAGTAGCGAGTGCGTCCGGCCAGAAACGAGGCGACACGTTAGCGTGGAACAGGAGCGTGCGAACGCAGTCGTTGAAAGTGCGAAGGACGCGTTTGGCTCGACCGTTCTACTGTGAAATATACGGGCATGTGAGACGAAAAACTGTGCCGTGGTGCGACAGAAAAGTGTGGAAAACAAGGTTGTCGAACTCTTTTTCATTGTCAGTCTGAAGATAAGAATGGGAGCCCAAACTGCGTGCTGACATAAGAGTAAAAAGTCGTCAAAGTGGAGAGTGCATTCGACTTTCGTCGTAAAGGAAAAGTCCACACATAGTGAGAATAATTATTAAGGATAATCAGATAATATAAATAACCTGAATTACTAGAAACCGAAGAGGTCCACCCATCGCTATGAATCAACTAAAAGGGAAAGAAGCTATGGTGATGTAGTTATTAAACGGGAGGTGAATATGTTTGCCGACACGACATGCATGACAGGTGTGATCCTCTGTCTTATTACAACTGAAACTGAAACTCCTAAAAATATGACGAAGTGTGACGGGATTGAGATGACCCAAACGAGCGTGCCAGAGATCGACGCCAGCAGAGAGAGCAACCGATGCGGTGGTGGAAGTGGACGGCGGATGCACCGGATATAGTTCGTCGAGGCTGTCACATTGGTGAAGTACCATCCTGATTCGAGCATCTTTGACACAAAAATCAAGCCCGTTAAAATCGACAGTAACAGGATTTTCACGAGTTAAACAACGAACGGAAATAAGGTTCTTAATAAGATGATGTGATACAAATATGTTAGACAAAGTAATAGGTACAGAATTGAAAATGCTGCCGCTGTACAAATGCATGCTCTAACCAATGCAACCAAAAGACCGATCTGATGGAAGAGACTAGACATCACATTATACATCAACACTCCCCTCACGTGTGGCTCCCTCAGCCTAAATGTGGACCGAAAGTTGACTGCAATTTTAATTGCGTCAGCTGGGTCTTGAACTCAAGACCTCTTGACTCTGATATCATGTATGATGTGAGAATTACGTGTTGTATTTCTCAGATGGAAACACATGTATATATGATGTATATCCTTAACTATACAAGGCAACTAGGAGATGGGCTCAATACACAAAGATGTACAACATGTATACTCAACCGTTTGAGGACGTCCGTCTATAAATGCTCTAAGAGTAAAAAGGGAAGCAGGTTGCTGGCGTCTGGTGAGGTTTGGTGATTAACCATGGCTTCTTCCGACAGAGACAGCGCCTTGCGTTCTGCTCAGCAACCAAAGGTGAGAGTGAAACGGGCATGTCACGACGTGTATGGCTCCCTCGCGGTCCATGTCTCCCATGGTGTTTTTTAGTCTCAGCAGGTCTCTCGCCGCAACACGCGCTGACGGGACGTGTATCGGTGTATGGATCCCGTCAATGCAGAACCTCGACGGACCGATATACTACAATGTCCAACACGTGAAGTGACCACGAAGACGAAGGGAGGGAAGGAGGAAGCAGCATCCAAGATGACTCAGGCGCTTGCGCAGCGGGACGGCCTTCTGCTAAGTGATTGGTCAATGCAGAATGATCAGATCAGAGTAGGAAAAAAAAAGGGTTTTGGCACAACAGACATTCAACCTCGATATCCAGAATCAACTCAATCACGCAAGTGCATTATATACTATACAAAATTAGCACTGGAGTACTTTACAAGCTTAACCGTAACTCTTATTTTCTAGTACATTTTTTTTTGTCTTGATAACGACTCTTTTCTGTACATTTGACGGTATGGTTGACTCAACCACGCAAGTATACATTTTTCTGTACATTTGGGATTTCCTTCTTGAGTGCCATAAAAGCAGAGGGTTTGGCCCTGTGTGGTGTGGCTGGATCCAGAATATCCTGAGAAATGGGACCATTAACATTAAATTGAATAATGAAAAAGGCCTTTATTTCCAGAGCTGCAAAGGAGTGCGACAAGGGGACCCGCACTCGCCTTTTTTGTTCAATATGGCTGTAGAAGCCCTATCTAAAATGATCCTTAATGCTCAAAAAGAGAAAATGCTGACAGGCCTGGCCCCGGACCTGATCAATGGAGGTGTGGCTATCCTCCAATATGCAGACGATACTGTCATTTGCTTTGAGCATAACAAAGAAGCTGCGGTCAATTTGAAACTCTTGCTTTATACATTTGAGCTCATGTCGGGACTTAAAATAAATTTCCTAAAAAGTGAAATCTTATGCATAGGGGGATGATGATGGCATACTTACCTTTTACTCCGAGCTTTTCAATTGCCAAATTGGCCACTTTCCTATGAAATATTTAGGGATTCCTGTGAGTTATTCCACTCTCTGTGCGTTAGATTGGAACTTTGTGGATGATAAATTCCTAAAATGTTGTGAGTCCTGGATTGGAAATGCAGCATCTTCAGGGGGGAGATTGACCTTACTCAACTCTTCCCTTACTAGCATCATTTTTTACTACATGTCTATGTTTATGCTATCTAAGAAGGTTATTGAAAAATTAGATAAGCATAGAAAAAAGTTCTTTTGGCAAGAGACTGATGGTCGGAAAAGATATCACTTGGTCAAGTGGTCTAGAATATGTAGATCCAAAAACAAAAGGGGGTTAGGAGTTAAAGATCTGCATAGACAGAATATCAGTCTCCTCACCAAGTGGTGGTGGAAACTGGAAACCCAGCAAGGCCTTTGGCAGGAGGTAATTCGTGCTAAGTATTTCAGAAATGATACGGTCCCCTCTGTGAAAAGTAAATTTGAGGATTCCCCCGTCTGGAAAGCTATTATGAAAGTAAAGAAAAAAATATTTGGCAGGTAGGGAAGTGATCTTAAACTCTGGAAATGTTGCCAGAATTCGGAATGATCCCATCAGAGGTGCTGCTCCCTTGCATGCTAAATTTTCGGTCTTATTCAGCATTTGTAATTTTCAGGAGATTACTGTTGCTGAATTTAAGAACTTTGAGGGTAATGACATGTTTAGAAGAAATCTTCATCCTCCCCTTACGGGTCAGTGGAACGATCTGGTGGAGGTGGTTAACTCCTGGCATTTATCTGATGAGGCTGATCAGATTAGCTGGACTTTGGGTAAAAAAGGTAAATTCTCGACCAAATCGGTTTACGCCTATTTGGAAAGACCCCTGGCTGGATGTGATTATAGATGGATCTGGAAAGCAAAAATTCCCCTCAAAATCCAAATATTTCTTTGGCAAGTGTTTCAAGACGCGGTTTTGACTAGAGAAGTCATGAGAAGGCGTAACTGGGCTCTGCAATAATATGGAAACTTCCCAACACCTTTTCTTTACCTGCCCTGTTGCTCGGGTGATCTGGAGGATGGTTGGATGTGTATTGGGCACGTCTCTCTGTCCGAACAACATTTGGCAGTACTTCTCCCGGTGTTATATTTTCCTTCCTGATGGAGTTAAATTTTACACCTCTGGTTTGGCAGCAGTCTGTTGGGCGATTTGGAACTGTCGTAACCAGGCTACTTTTGAACACAAAATTCTTAAAAGTCCTTTTAATGTGGTGTATGCTGCTTGTGGTTTTTTGACATACTGGGCAGGTTTGATGGCTGGTGATGATCGGGAGTTCATGGAACGCGGAGCCAAGATGCTCAGGTCCAGTGCTTCGATGATGATGAGAATCTGCGCGGCTCCTACCAAGTCAGCGATGAACTGATCCCCCTCCATCGCTTCGAGGCTTCAAGTTTTCTTCTGTCAGGATAGGCTACCTCACTCCTGCGCGAGTGCTCCGTTTGCTCGTTTGTGAGCCTGTGGGCATGGTGGTATTATACTGTTATGGGTTCCTTTTGGAGACTACCTTTTTGTTTAGGTCCTAGAGGTTTGCGTGATCACGGGTGTTACTGGGTTTTCGCCCCGCAATGAGCTGCTCGAGGACAAGTGCTCATGGTGGGTTTCCCAGAGGTGCCTTGAGCTCGCCTTACCCCTTTCTAGCTTCCTTAGGTTGAGTGTGGCTTTTGGGTCTTTGGTTACTGAACTATGTATTTCCATTATGCTTATAATGGAAAGGGGTTAAGGCCTGGTTCAAAAAAAAAAACCACACAAGTATACGTTACAAAATTGATTGACAATGCAGAACCTTCTGTTTTTACATGAACACCGGAGAACCTTTTACAAGCTTTTCTTTAGGGGTGAACTTTTGTTTTGCAAGCTCATTACGGCCGTAACTCCTCTCTTCTATACACTTGTTTGTCTTGACAACGACTGTTTTCTATGCATTTCACGGCATGGTTGGCACGACGAAACCTTTGCAGAATGAGAGCACAGCAGCCAAACCTACCGCAGATTCGTTTCATTCATGTGCTACTCCATATGTGGAATCGGCGTCGGCAGACGGTGACGATCATCTGCACCGTCCGCAAGCTTCATCCTTCTGTCCTCTCCGCCTTCAGGTGAGTAGCATGTCAGACTGGTAGCCTTGCGGTCCATGTCCTTGCTGTTTTTTAGTACCAGCAGGTCTCACCGCAACACACGCCGATCAGAACGGAACCCGCCAACAGAAAACCTGGACCGATACAGGTGAAATGACCAGTTACCAAGAGAGAAGGATGAAGCATCGAAGACGAACTCGCAAGTCAGGTGCTCGCGACGAACCGTGCTTCTGATTGGTCGAACTCGGAATGATATACAAGAGCCAGAAAGGCCCCCAAGCAAGTTGCTGGTGTCTGGTGAGGTTTGGTGATGAACTTTGGTTCCTTCCTGTGTGTTCGGCTCAGCAACCTTTCCAAGACATCCAGAATCCGGGTGTTTTGTCCACCTACGGAACCAAGCAGACAAAATACTACTCTACAAGCATGACCCTTTTCTATCTTGAAAGCGATTGTCTTGTAAGTATATATATAGCTTAGATCTGGTAGTGTATGGTTGACATGATGAGATGCTTTACAGGATGGGAACACACCAGCTAATTCCACCGCAAATTCCTTTCTTCTGCTAGTGTGTCATCTACATGGACAGTCGTCGCAAACGTCAACTATATCTGGACCATCAACTCATACTTACATTTTCTAGTTTGCTAGTATTCGTATAGGCATCGATCTATACGCTGAAAGTTGAGTGTATATGTACATGCCTGTCAATAAGCAACCCCGCCTGAGAATGCGTCCCCGTCGTCGTTTGTCAAGCTCTCGGTTAGCCAGTAGCCGTCCCACGAGCCGCCAACTCTCTACAGCAGAATTCCGTTCAAAATAGGCCGGTAGCTGGAATGTAGGAAACAGGGAGATGTGGTGACCGTGACAGGTACCTGAACCATTGTAAACTGGAATATCTCTTCTTCCTCCGGGCGAGCTCCTCGGATCCAAACTCTCTGCTTAAATTGATTCTGCCGGCACAATGAGATCCAGGGCATAATCTTTGTTAAAAGTTGGACAGAAGAGAATGGTACTCATGAATTTATTTCAGCGTGATGATACTATGCTTTTATCTGGTTTGTGTTACTTTGACTCATTCAAGCAAGTAGAAGGGGCAAGGGGGAAACCTCTTCAACCCATAATCTGCTTAATATCTCTCTTTCTTTGTGGCCAAGCAGCACCCTGTAAGTTGAATGGTGAAATATCCGCCGGAAACGTTCGAACTGAAACAGTATCGGCGGCAATTAGTAAGCATGACAACTGTTGACTACCAATATAGGTCACAAGGAAATGTTTCTATCTTAATTAGTACCTGCCCAAGATCAAACTGTCGTCCAAAATAAGTTGACCTTTCAAATGGATTAAAGCCTGCAAACTAGAGATAACAAGACTGTTAGATTGACATAGCTTTCATCAGCAGTTCAGCACGATGCCAGAGAAAACGAATAATTTTCATGCCCGTGCTATTAGCCTATTACCCGGTACATGACCTCAACCCCATAATCCGGGCGGGGTTTGTCATTGTATTTCAAGGCCTCAAGCTGGTACTCCACTGCTTCTTCTGCATTAAACTGAAAGATGGAGTACCATGCTGAACGTGTAAGCTTGGCACTTCAATATTATGATATTTGAAAGTTTGCTTTCAGTTGGGGAATTACATTCAACCTGGGGCCCAAAGGCTTCTTCTTGCGTGTTTCAAGCCTGAATTAGAATGGAAAGAATGAGACAGGGAAACAATAGAAAGATACCATATGGTAATACACAACATGTGCAATGCCAGCCTAACTGTTATATATCAGGATGTTTGATTAGCTTCTTGCCTACAAGAATACTTCATAGGCAAAGTTACGCATGTCACAACTGCTAGTTAACTTCTCACTGTAATTTGTGAAGATGTAATCTGCCAACCACTTTGCTTCTCAGTTAATTAAGCAATTCTCTAAGGTAGGGCCCAAAGTAAAATGCATGTGGAGAGTACATAAAACCAAGTAGCAGAAATAACTTTTAATCAGATCGGTAGATCAACACAGAGAAAATAAAATGTCGCACTAAAAACATGCAGTTGACACACATTCCACATGGAAGAAATGGCTGGATAGACTTTGATTAGATAAGATTTGGTTTGTTAGGGATAAGATTTAGTTTGGTTCCTGTAGGAGATAAGAGGTCATCTTATTGTATGCCCTCAGCATAAGGGGGTTGAAGAGTTGTGCTTCCCTCTGCCACACCAAGAGAAGGACCCCAGACGCCCTCCTCCTCTCAACCACATCCCTCCCTACCTCCTCAGACCCACAGAACCAGTACATAACATGCTTCTCAGGTCTAACTGTCATGGTGTTGGTATGTCTACTCAAGCAAATCCAACTGACTGAGTAGCTGGCATGATGCCTGGCACTCTTACGCCCATGCCTGTACTATCTATAGCTAAGGCTGTGACTCTTTTTTAGATGAAAGGCATCTTCCTGGCTTTATAAATCAGTGAAGCCCCAAACGGCCAACTAGAGTATCAGTTTAACATTACAGCCCCAGAAAAGAAAAAGGCAACAAAAGCAGGACTGTTTTAGTAGTTGAATGGTGAAAATGAACTCTGGGCTCTGGCATAACTAATATGGTATGTCGTCGTTTGACAGAACATCAAATGCGGCATTGGTGTCAGTTAAATTCATCTAGTACTCTCTGTTGTAACAAAAATGAAGGATGGGGATTGATAGTTGGCTACTTGGCTTTATCAAACCGTGAAATTAGCAGTTCATTTAATCTGATCGCCAATGGCCTTTGTCAAGCCGGCACACTACTAATGCAGGAATGAAGGTAATTTTTGTCATCGCCGGTATTCTAGTGGCATAACTAATATGGTATGTTGTCGTTTGACAGAACACCAAATCGCGGCATTGGTGTCAGTTAAATTCATCTAGTACTCTTTATTGTAACAAAAATGAAGGATGAGGACTTGGTAGTTGGCTACTTGGCTTTACCAAACCATGAAATTAGCAGTTCATTTAATCTGATCTCTAGTGGCCTTTGTCAAGCCTGCACACTATTACTGCAGGAATGGAGATATATTTTGTCATCGTCGATAAGAATAACATGTCACTGATTTCTAGTGGCATACAAAACTGAGTCAAGATATGCATCTGAAATGAATACACAATCTGGCTAGAAAATGGCAGCTTTTCTTCTTCTAATTTTGATCTGATCCTGAGTCATACGTATATCCTGATGGAAACAGTGCTCCTTCTTCCATGCTAAAATTCTGAGCATATACCCCATTCTAGATGCTAGATGACAGGAGAGGGGCATCACATCCCTAGAAATGCCCACTGCCCAAATTCTCTGCCTGGCTACGCTACCCAAGATCCCCCCGGTCTGCTACCAGGTAATCCAATCGACATTGAGTTTAGCACGCGTGAGTATCCGGAGCCAGGAACGAAATACGACAGGGCAATCGAAGGTAGTAGTACGGGACGGGGGTACCGACCAGTCGGAGGAGAGGAAGTCGGGCACGTCCGAGGCGGAAGCGGAGGCCGAGACTCTGAGCCGGCCTGCCGCTGCAGCCATGGACGGACGCACCGGGCAGAACCCGCCGCGGACTGGGACCGGCGGCCGCCGGAGAGCGATGGGCTTCGCGGTCGCGGGAGCGGGAGCGGGCGACGCCATTGCAGCCACGGTGGTTTCGTGTCCCCTTTTTCCTCTCCGGTTAACTCTGTCCACTGACGAGAGTGAAAAAAAAGAATAATGATTTCTTTTAGCAAATAGAGTGAATTTTGTTTTTTGCGGGTTAGAGTGAATTTTTCTTAATGGGCCCATACTCTTCCTCCAGGCCCGTGTCAAGGCGATTCGAGCCCATGTACTGCGATTTCTAGGGAGCAGATTGTACAGCCTTTGTGTTAATTATTATTTTTATTACAGAAACATACATTAATCTTGTCTCACTAAAAAAACACGTTATTCGAATGTGCCCTTGCACGTTTTTTTAGAAGACACCCAAAAGGGCATCTCAATATTTTAGGCCTTGTACAATGATAGGTGCTTAGGGGAGGTATTTAGAGAAATAAACCAAGCTTTTCTTAAGCACCGGTGCTTATTTGTACAGGATAGACGTTTAACTAAGCGTCTCTTCTGTAGAAATAGGCACCGGTGCTTCAGAAAAATCCGGTTTATTTTTCTAAGCATCTCTCTAAGCACCTCCCATTATACAGGGCCTTATACTCCGTCCGAAAAAACTTGTTCCAAACTAGAGTAGTTAACAAGAAAAACAGTAGATAATACAATTAAATGACACCACGACACAAAATAATATGTAAAAGAACATTGAAAATCATATTGTTTCTCTTCTTCTTTCGCTTGCTTACCGCTGAAGCTTGAAAAATGCACTGAATAGACATTAAGTAATAGGGACACCTACAAATGTCCTTGTCGTACAAGGCTTTAAAAATTGCAATAGTCACTCGTTGTCAATGATCTTTTTCTTTTTGCGGTAAAACATCCAAACTATTTATTTTCAATCATGGCAGTACAATAAACACCAGAAATAATAAAAATTACATTCAGATTCATAGACCACCTAGCGACGACTATAAACACTGGAGCGAGCAGCAGGCGCGCCACCGTCATCGCCCCTCCCTCATCGGAGTCGGGCAAAACTTGTTGTAGTAGGCAATTGGAAAGTCGTCGTGCTAAGGCCCCATAGACTAGCGCACCAGAACAACGTCGCTGATGAAGAGTAGCGTAAGTCGAAAGAATACAATCTAAAGACACACGAACGTAGACGAATGACGAACAGATTCAGACAAATCCACCAAAGGCAGATCCGCTAGAGACACACCTCCACACTCCCACTTTTCGCCCCGGTGGGGCGTAGAAACTTGGCTCGCTTTGCCTACCGCAATGATATCAAATTATTATCCGTCACTGAACTTCAACTATCCGTCATTGAACTTCAACTAGTAAATGTGTATATGTAATGCACGTTGATATTTGGATTACACGTTCATATTAGATAGGATATCACTATTGCGAGAATGCCCAACAGTGGCGAGTGCAAAAAGCCTAGTAGTGGCGGGCCAGGCTCTCAGGGCCGTCCGCCACTAACCTCCTGCCACTGCTATTATGGCATCAATGGCGGGCCACCGCCCGCCACTGATGACAGTGCTGTAGTGGCTGGCATAAGTTATGACCCGCCACAACTATAATCTCTGCCAGCCACAACTATAATCTCTACTCGCCACTGTTGTGTGTATTAGCAGTGGCAGACACCTTTGCCGCCCGCCACTGGTAGTGATGTCGGCATATAGAGAAATTGCTGCTGTGGCAGCATTTTAATGGCGCTCAAGCAATATTTTGCACTCAATCATCCCATTGCATTCAGACAATCATATTACAACGGTGTTATAATAATTAAGATTATTAATGAAGCAAACATACGGTATAAGAGGTGTAGAACAACAAATAAACATGTAAAATTCTCAACTCATAAAGTGAATAAAGAATCAAGATGCTTTGAAGCATTGTATCGCTCGCATTCGATTACCACAATATGTCTTTGACTCGGTGAAGTCGTTCTTCATCTCGCTCTAGCCGGAAGTGAAATTTCCCATCCTCATTTACAACCTCTTTGTTGATGATTCTGGCCAACACCTTTTAGAGGCGGCCATGCTCTGTTAATAGTTCCCTTATGTCCATGCCCCTTTCCATCTCTTCGGACCACTTGACAATCTGGCTATGATTACGCAAATATTTGCTTTTCTTCAAAAAGTCGTCTATGATAGCCAAGGCACAATATCCAGACCTATGAGAGATTTCCACATTTTGTTCTTGATAGCAACAAGCGCTAGTGAAGAACTAGAATTCTGAATGTTCTGTTATAGTCTCTCTGACGTTCTTACACTTGGCGAGAGCATCATTTATGACCTTCAATCTGGTCCATTGCTTTTGAGGGTGTCTGATGACCCACAAGTATAGGGGATCTATCATAGTCCTTTCGATAAGTAAGAGTGTCGAACCCAACAAGGAGCAGAAGGAAATGACAAGCGGTTTTCAGCAAGGTATTCTCTGCAGGCACTGAAATTATCGGTAACAAATAGTTTTATGATAAGATAAGTCGTAAAGGGTAATAAGTGACAAGTGTAACAAAGGTGCAGCAAGGTGGCCCAATCCTTTTTATAACAAAGGATAAGCCTAGACGAACTCTTATATAAAGCAATGCGCTCCTGAGGACACATGAGAATTACCATCAAGTTAGTTTTCATCATGCTCATATGATTCGCATTCGCTACTTTGATAATTTGATATGTGGGTGGACCGGTGCTTGGGTGTTGTCCTTACTTGGACAAGCCTCCCACTTATAATTAACCCCTCTCGCAAGCATCCACAACTATGGAAGAGGAATTAAGATAAATCTAACCATAACATGAAACATGTGGATCCAAATCAGTCCCTTACGAAGCAACGCATAAATTAGGGTTTAAGATTATGTCACTCTAGCAACCCATCATCTACTTATTACTTCTCAATGCCTTCCCCTAGGCCCAAATCATGGTGAAGTGTCATGTAGTCGACGTTCACATAACACCACTAGAGGAAAGACAACATACATCTCATCAAAATATCAAACGAATACCAAATTCACATGATTACTTATAATAAAACTTCTCCCATGTCCTCAGGAACAAACGTAACTACTCACAAAGCATGTTCATATTCAAGATCAGAGGGGTAATAAATATCATTAAGGATCTGAACATATGATCTTCCACCAAGTAAATGATACGTCTCCAACGTATCTATAATTTATGAAGTATTCATGTTGTTTTATTATCATTCTTGGATGTTTTACAATCATTTTATAGTAACTTTATATCATTTTTTGGACTAACCTATTGACCCAGTGCCCAGTGCGAGTTGCTGTTTTTTTTTGTTTTTTTTACATCGCAGGAAATCAACATCAATCGGAGTCCAAACACCGCAAAAAATTATGGATTTTTTATGGACCAGAAGACCACCAATGGGCCAGAGCAGCACCTGGGAGGTGCCCCGAGGGGGGGGGGCACAACCCACCAGGGTGCGCCTGGGGGCCCAAGCGCGCCCAGGTGGGTTGTTCCCACCTCGGTGGCCTCCCACACCCCCTCTTTACCCCTATAAATTTCCAAATATTCCAAAAACCCTCGGGGTTAACCTAAATCAGAAGTTCCGCCGCCGCAAGGCTCTGTAGCCACCGAAAACCAATCTAGACCCCGTTTCGGCACCCTGCCAAAGGGGGAATCATCACCGGTGGCCATATTCATCATCCCGACGGCCACCATGATGAGGAGGGAGTAGTCCACCCTCGGGGCTGAGTGTTTGTACCAGTAGCTATGTGTTTAATCTCTCTCTCTCTCTCTCTCATGTTCTTAAGATGTCATGGTCTTGATGTGTCGCGAGGTTTGTTAATATAGTCCGATCATATAGAGTTTTCCCTCTCTATCTTGTTGTGATGAATTGAGTTTTTCCCTTTGAGATTTCGTTATTATCGGATTGAATACTTTTATGGATTTGAGAGCACTTGATATATGTCTTGCATATGAATACTCGTGGTGACAATGGGGTATCATATTGATTCACTTGATATATGTTTTGGCACTCAACTCACGGATTCCTGAGGTGACATTAGGGTAATCTACGCATAGGGGTTTATGCACATTCTTATCTGTGTTTCTCTGGTAGAAATCTTGGGGCACTCTTTGAGGTTCTTTGTGTTGGATTGAGTATTATGAATATGAAATTATTTGGTGTTATTCTAGTACGAACTCTTGGATAGATCGATCGGAAAGAATAGCTTCGAGGTGGTTTCGCACCCTACAAATGATTTCTTCGTATGTTCTCCGCTAGATAGGAAATTTGGGGTGATTCTTCGTTGCACTTTGAGGGGTGGTTATATGATCTAATTATATTAGCATTGTTGAGAGATTGTACTAGCGAAAGTACGGACCTTAGGCCTCATTTTCAAGCATTGCAATACTATTTTTGTGCCTGTTTACTATTTGCTACCTTGTTGTTTTTATTTATTCAGATTATAAAAATATATTTCTACCATCAATATTACACTTTTATCACCATCTCTTCGCAGAACTAGTGCACCTATACAATTTGCCATTGTATTGGGTGTGTTGGGGACACAAGAGATTTCTTGTATTTGGTTGCAGGGTTGTTTGAGAGAGACCATCTTCATCATACACCTCCCACGGATTGATAAAACTTAGGTCATCCACTTGAGGGAAAATTGCTACTGTCCTACAAAACTCTGCGCTTGGGGGCCCAACACGAGTCTACAAGAATAAAGTTGCGTATTAGACATCAGTAAACCAACTAGCATCAATTACAAGGAGTAATCAACACTACTAGCAACCTACAAGTACCAATCTAAGGTTCCAAGGCAAAGATTGAATACAAGAGATGAACTAGGGTTTGAGAAGAGATGGTGTTGGTGAAGATGTTGATGAAGATTGACCCTCCCATGATGAGAGGATCATTGGTGATGTAGATGGCTTTGATTTCCCCCTCCCAGAGGGAAGTTTCCCTAGCAGAATGGCTCTGCCGGAGCTCTAGACTGCTCCTGCCCAGGTTCCACCTCGAGACGGCGGCGCTTTGCCCTGAAAACTATCATTTTTTCTAGGTCAAAA